GTCTGTTGTATTATCCCAGTGGAGAACTGAGTTGGAGGGATCGGAACAACCCAAAATGCTCCTAGGTTATTGCAAGCCTCGTGTATGTTTGGGCTTCATCAAACCCTAGGGTGTTCTTGTGTGGTTTACTGTGCTACAAAAACGTCAAGTCTTTTAGGCTGAGATGGACACAGAGCCTGTACACTATTGTAAAGCTCCTGCTGGGTAGCAGCAAGGGTCATAAGCAATCAAAAAGTGATTTTTAAATTACCAAGGATTGAAAATAGATGTGAGAGACATGATTAGAAAGCTCTCTAAGGAGGTTAAGATGATGACATAGATAGGTGGGTGAAGCTTTGGGACAAAGCTTTGGAAAGACAAGTGTGGTGGAGAGAAATACAGAGAGTGAGAACTCACTTGGTGTTTTCAGCTGCTGGAAACTTGACATTATCATGGTTTAGACAGTTTGCATCAGGCAGGTACCCTGGCCCACACTGCTGCCCACTTCAAGACTGAACACGAGAAGCTTTTCGTTTGAGCCGGCAGAGGCTGCCCCAAAATAGGATCCGTCTTCCTCAGTGTTGCGAGACTGTTGTGCCGCACATCCTCTGTCATTGCAGTGGAAACTGTACAGGCAAATCATGAAGTACCTGCTAGGCAAATGCTTGAGGGCAGGAACTTTTTCAGCTGGACCACTGGTTTTGTATAGTAAATAAGCTCAATGGGATGGCTGAAGCTGTCAATGCTAAAAGGTTTTACGTTTGGGGTTTTTTTTGTTTTGATTTTTTTTGATCATACTGCATCAGTAGAATCACATGGTCTTCAACCTCCTGTACAGCTCTGCCCATCTCATTGCTCTGTTTGCCAGTGCATATGTATACAGGCTGCGGAGGGGAGTTTGGTCTGGTCCCACAGTGCCCTCCCAGCCCCTCCCGTGGTTATGGTCAGTACATGGAGCCGCGCTTGCAAGGAGGAGCAGACTGAGACACATGGGTTGGCTGGAAATAAGGAAACGTCTGGAAATTAGGAAAGAGCAGAAAGCACTGAGAAAAAGAAGAAATCCTGAAGGATGAGACAAGGCAGCCGAGGAAAGGTTAGAGGAAGGCAGGGAGGAGCTAGCAGCATGCAGGGCTGTTGGGGGAGTGCTGGCAGCCCAGAGTGCAGGCCCTGAATGCAGATGAAACAGCAGCCTCCTGCAGCGGGGAGCTGGCTCTTGTGTAAGAGCTCTTCAATGCATGCACGGTTAAAAATAAAAGGTGTTTGTATAGCATTGACTCTCTGCATGCTAACATGAAGAAGAATGCAAATAGAAGTGTGAGCAACAAGGAGGAGGCTGTTTAATGGCTTTGAGGATTAGCAGCGGTATTTAGAGCCTTTCACCTCTCTGTTCCTAACATAAATCTTAACACAGATTGATGGTTTTAGCCATCTGGCTTGTGTTTGCTTGTGTGCAACAACTAGTGAGACAGAGAAAGAACCTGACCAGCAAGGCAAAAGAAAAAAAAATGTATATGACAGAAGAAGGCATCTTCTTCTCCAGTGTTGGTTAGAGCAGGTATGGTGCAATTCTGTTTCACAGAGCTCAGCAGGTAACAAGGGAAAGGGGAATGAAAGAGTAACAGGCATCGCTTGGTACATGACTCTACCAGGGAGCCTGTGACTTATACAAATGCGTATGCTGTGAGCAACTTGCTCCCAAATGCAAAGCACTGTGATCTTTAGAGATATAGTTACCCCAGAGAGCACGAGAGTTAGAGGGCGAGTTTCAATCGTAGGTTGACTTTCAACTGTAAATTATTTTATACTTGACTGGAAACTGTTCTCCCATACATCACCCATCTAATACCCTGATTTTATATACTATAGTCCAACTTATAAGCTAGAAAATTTTGCGCTCTCAAGCGTATGACGTACTTTGGATTAGATGGCTTCTTTGTATCCTAAGCCTTCTAAATACCAATGCAAGTTTTCTTGGGGGTGAGCTGACCCTTGCAGGGAGTCACTGTCAGTTTTCCTCTCACTCCAGGGTGCAAGGTCTGTCATTCCTTTTCCAGCAAGGTCATCTTGGTAGAGCTTCCAAAAATCCAGGGCTTTAATGGGGAAGCCATGTGACAGGTTGCTGTTCCGCGTCTCCAGACAAAAGAGTAACCAAGAGTGGGTACGTGCATGCACACGCTATAGCGTGTTTTCCTAGTTAGTTATTTTTCAACAGCTCTGAAGTAAGGGTGAGAGTTACAGAGGACCTCACCTCTGGTCTTTTCAAATAGGGGAGTTTGGGTGAGAAATATTGATGATATGTCTTTAAGGAAATGTTTACTGGTGTCAAAGATGCGCTCTTGGGTTCTTCTGTGGTTTTACTCAAGTTTGGTCTGGGATTGACTGTCTGTGGTGCGTATTTCAAACCAAAGCAAACCTCTAGAAGGCTTCCTCTAGATGGGGTAAAAAACTG